AAAAGTTTCAGAGACCATCTTTCATCCTCCTATCTCAAATCAGTTTGGTTTTCAGAGTTGTGGTGTTTTGACTGTAATCAATTGGCACAAGAAAACTTTATAAACCCAAAATACAGTGGCGTGGTAAGGTAGTATAAAATTATATTGAAACTGTAAAAAGTGTCTCCTCCTTCAGTGGTATGTTTTGGTTTTTAAATACCAGGTAGAAATTACAAAGATTTTATTTTCTGTAACTGATCTCACAGGATTACCTGTAAGAATCGCTACGAAATTAATATTTTGTAGCTGTTTCACCTAAATCCAAGCTATGAAACATTAACATCACCGCAGGCTTACCTGCTTTGTCTGCAAATGTAAATGAGTGGGTGTATAATAAATCTCTAACGTTGCCAATACTGGAAGGTGACAGAGCAATAACAGCCATTGACTATACCAGAAATTTCTGTACTACCACCTGTGACATTATGACTAAAAGCTGATAGGGATCTAATTTCTTTGAAGCAAATAGCAAGATGCCCTTTTGACCTGGGCAGCACTATCAATTCCTCTACTGCATTCTCTGCCTCCTCTTAATAGTGGTAGGATTCTGGATCTTGTTAAAATACACATTTTCAAATTACTAACTTCCAGTAAATTATTAATTCACGAGGTCCATCATTACTCACTTAAAAAAAAAAAAAGCTCTCTATGAAGCACATTTTATGAACACATTTGAGCATCTATACTTTTTAATTTTAAATGGTTTATTTGCCTCCTTTGTAAAGCTTATCCCTCCAAGACACCAGATGGCAAGAGGTAGAGTAGTATATGAAACAATACAGAACTCTTCTCCTTTATCTGAGGTGATAAAAAAGGATTTACTGTGTATGTGGTGTAAGGAAGAGTGTTTTAACATTTATGAAATTTCTCACTGTTTGAAGGATGTTTCTAACATGGATTCTCCTTATCTGAAGTCTGAAACTTATTGTTTGATGGGATAGGCCTGAATACGAAACTGTCTGATGAAACTCATGGTCATACTTTGAAGACTCAAATCCATATTCTAAGGAGTTGAAAGTCATGTCTTTTCTTCAGAAACAACTCTTTCCTTTCCTCACTCTTCCATAGAATACCATCGTGGCCTATATATTCAGAGTCTAAGAGATGAGGTAGGAAGAGGAATTTTTTTTTTTTTTTAACATCACTGTGCAATATTTGTAGATTAACTCATGGAAAAAAGCATTCCAGAAGAAGATTACAATCTGATGCAGATGGGAAAAGCAGCACAGCTGGGCAGGGTGAGGAATGTTATCAGAAACGCCTATTTGTATCTCACAGTACAAAAGTAGAAACATGTTTTCTTTAAACACACAGAAATCATAATTCTTTCTGAGATACAATAATGCTGGAAGGACAAGCTGCATTTGAGCAAATCAAGGCAAGATTTCCCCAGCAAAGTGTCCAGTCCTGAATGCCTGAGAGGTTAAAACACAAAACGTTTTGGGAAGAGAAAGGACAAGAGAGGCACAAGAACTTACACAAGCAAGGACTGGACTAAAGCAGAGTGCTCAACTAGAATTTGGTAATACAAGATAATAAAGACAGACATCATATGATATGAAGGCAGTAATTAGGATGAGGTATGATAGAACAAGAATTTGGGGAAAACAAGAGGAATACAAAGGTCTTTGCTTTGCCTGGTTGAACTCTGTGGAGTCACAAGACCTCTGGTGTGATTTACAAACAGGCTGCTGAAGGCATTTGAATCTCAAAATGTCTCTTCCAAAACAATGAAGAGTGCTCAAAAGTTTCTAATTCTGTATGAATGACTGTGATCTAGTTAGAGATATTCTACTCAATATAAAGCCTCATAGACACTGACCTGCAAGACACCAGAACTGCAAATGGACGAGTGCACTGGGAAACTCAACAGGCAAGCACAACCTGCGAGAGCCAGTCATAGAAAAAGACACTGTTTTAAAACTGGATGTGTCCAGCTGATGCCATGATGGGTTTATACGTCCAAAATATTGAAATGTTGCAATATCTCTTTCCCTCACGTGTTTCCTTCAACACTTGCACACCAATATGGGTTAATTAGCCATGTGCCTTCAGCTGGCATATGTTAACATTAATTCATGCCAGCCAGTGCTTGAAGACTGATTTCAACTGTGTAATCTCCCACCCTAGTTACCACTTACTGAGGAGCAGGGAGAGAATACCATCTCATACAGCCACAATTTCTGTTTCTCCTCCAATTAAGTCCTTATGAGCATTTTAATATGCACTAGCACTTTCAATATACACAAAGCACTTTTGATGGTGTTACACAGCATTCCCCACGACATTGGTAAATGTCTCTCTTTACTCCCCCCATACTGATATAAAAGGATAAGAATTAAACATAGTACACTATCTTGGCTGTAAATCAAATCCAAATTTGCAATAGGTGGTTACTGGAAGCCACAACTACCCAGTTCCTTGTTCCCATCCACAGAACAGATCACACAGTCATCACAGGGAAATGAAAGTTTCTAACTTAATACATTTTGTAAAGGCCAAATCTAGTCCATTACATGAGTGTAAACATGTAGGGAAAAACAGTACTGATTTGCCATACTAAGCAATATCTTCGTGCAAAATTCACAAGAGCTAGCATTTCCCTTGGCTTTCAGTACCCAGTTTCTATGAGTATTCTTTTTTCCACATAAATATTGACAGTTCACAGCTGATCGTTTGGACCACAGCAGTACATTTTAGCTGCAGGATTTAGGCTGAAGTCTGTTTTGGGGGTGTGCATGCCTAGAACCTCTAGCAGAGGTTGGCCCTGGGAATAAACATACTCCTGAGCAGACAAAACCTTCCAGATTTTTTTTTTTACTCTGATTATATTACATAAAATTGTGAGTTCACACCAAACCTACCTTCTCTACCCACCAACTCAAAACAGTTTTAAAGCACTGAGAGAATAATGTGGTCTGCTGAGTGCATGCAAGCTGAGAGGGCAGGTTTTGTTGCAGGCTGAACAAGCTAAAAACAGTTACCTCTCACCATCAGAGCCCTGATCTGCGTGTCCTGAGCAGGAGAAGCTTAGACAGTTCCTCATAAGGATTCTGAGAGCAGCTTATAGTCAGGGCGAGAACTTGCTACTCTTCCTACTTTTATCTCTCTCCAAAGGATGTTATTTTTCAAAATAAAGGGATGTAATTCATCATCATCAGAAACAGTGCCAAAAAAAGGCAGACCCCTTTTAAAACATGCTCTGCACATTTCATCACCAGCCAACTAACACACCCTGGAGAAGTGCAGACCTTGCAGCTGAGGCTCAAGGGACATAAGCAGAGTCCTTGAAGGGGCAGACACCTGGGAAGGTGGTACTGCTCCACTAGCCCTGATAAAAAGCACAGCAGGTGAATGAAGAGCATCAGTGGATAGAATGAAATCTACTCAGTACATGTTCACTGCTTTTACTGTGCCAGTGAGCCTTTTACTTTAGGAAAGAAAAAAAAAAAATCCCAAACCACAGTTTTAGGATAAGATGAAAACACCTACATAGCTGTAATAAAGAATAAAATTCAAGGTAGGCTAGTCATCTTAAAATTTGCTTGAGACGTGGTCACCGTAAATTAGGGCAACACATTACATTATGGGAATACAGAAGGCAGACCAAAGAGAGGAAACAGAGAAGTTTCCATTTTCTAGGAAGTCTTTGTAGTCTTTTAGGTGAAGAAAATCCCAGCAGCAGACTGCAGTGCAGGTGAGGCAGGAGTGGGTGGCCAGAGTGGGCTGTGGGCAGCTCAGGTAATGGAGTGAGCAAAGGGGTGGATGAGGCCTTGCTACCCAGCATTGCAGGCAACAGGGTTGGGGTCCCACAGTTATCATCTGTGTGTAAAAGGATGTTACAGGAGATGAGAATACCTGCTCAAGGAGCCATTGGGGATGAGGACTTTTAATGCCTATTGGTACATTCTGCTTGCTAATTCTCTGGTGCCCTGTTACCTTGCTGCTGTCCTTTTCTCCCTCTAATCAAGTACTTTTTTGTGAATCATTTGACCTGTTATTTATGAGTGGCATTGGGCAAAGTTTAATGTTTTGTGTCTTTCATGTGAGAAGCCAAACTGGTGTTCATTAGTGAACTCTAAATCTAGCCCTTTGTGGCTACCAATGCCAAATTCATCTGCTTCCATTACTTCCCAGCATCAATCTCAGCCATACCCCCCCCAAAAAAAAGGGAAAAAAGGCAGCTCTATTAACAACAACCTTCTTCCTCAGAAGATCACCTCTATTAATGTCAAAGAGATGGCATGGGTTTCCTTGGCTCTCTCAGCTTTGCTTGTTTCAGTATTTGCAGACAAGCCTGCTGAGAACTTGACATGGGTATATTTATCCTTAAACACAACTGTTCAGCATTCATGAGCATTTTCCAGTCATGTGTCCATAGCACAGCTCAAAAACTCCTTGTTCATCTCAGTCATCATTTGAAAACATTAACCAAAAATAAATTAGACTGCAATCCCCAATTAATGTAAACCCTATGTATAGCAAAAGCAATTATTTTACGGCATGTGACATTTATGATTATCTTGCAGTTGATATTAGAGAAGTTTACACATTCACTCTGATGAAAAAGTTTTTCTTTGTATCCCTGATAGTGAAATAAACATTTCTGATTATATGAACCTCAGCAACCTACAGCTCTCATAAGCTAAGTGTGAAGCAATACAGAACTGATCCCACAAAGGCTGAGTAGTATTTTAATTACAAGTTTGCTATACTGGTATGGATTCCTTCCTTGGGTAAATCCAGTGAATTCAGGGACATGTTTAGATATAGTGACAAGTTTCTACTGAGGATGCTGTAAAATTCCTCCAGTACTTTTTCTCTGAAGAATCTTAATAATCACAAAAGGTTATGATATTGTGATGAATAGATAAACATCTTTAAAATGAACATAATCATTTGTATTGCCTATTAACAACTAAATATGACAGAAGATACATTCAGTAAATATTCATTCTTACCACAAGACTGCTGTCCAGAGAAAGTCTTTTCCCAAATTCCCTTTTCTGTAGCTGTCTTTTCCTCTCCATAGCTGAGGTTATTTGTTTTCCTTTTGATCAGCTTGAGATGTCAGTCTGCTCCCAGCATCACTGGAAAAAAAAAAATTAAATGCACATTTCAATATTCTACTTAAGAGTTTCAGTCTTTCCTCATTAACTTTGTAATAACCCAGCAGCTAATGACTTTGTGTCTCTAGTAGGCTGTGTTCCAGAAACAAATTTTCTGTGCCAAAAAAAGATAAACTCTCCAAACAGAAATATTACCAATGTGTTTGGGTTGCTTCTCAAAGAAAAAAAAAAAATCTGCTACTACTGTCTTTCTCAATACACCCATGTTTCCATAGTCTCTTTTGAACTGGGCTGGAAGGTGGATTTACAGAGCCAATGAACTACCTGGGGCCGGGGAGGGGGAGGGAAGCTGCTGGTTTCACATTAATTGCACTTCTCAGTAAGCCTTGCCTGTTGGCACATCTGTGCTGCCTCTGTGATGTACAAATTTTGGACCTAATCCTGAGGAGTTCTAAAAGCTTTCAACTCCCATTATCCTTAATGAGAGACAAATGCCCTCAGCACTTTCCTCAAGTTTTTAAGGTCAAAGATTCTGCTGTGATAATCTGACAGTCCCACTGCCTGTACAGAGCAGCCAGGGAATTCAGCCCACAAAGGTATCAAAAAGGGAATTAGTCCTTCCATTTTCGTAGGGTTTGGCAATTCCTGCCCAGTGGTTCCTACTAAAACCAAGCCACTGCTTACAATTAAAAACTACCATCTCCCCTAAAGATTTAGCTTGTATTTTAAGGCATTACTAATTGTTTGTGATTCAGGAAGATGGGCAAAGTTAATGAATTTATTCAGTATTTACAGAAAATAGTACAATAATAACAGAAATCAGAATCTAGCCTAAAGTAAGGCAGGCAGACATGCTCATACAGAACCAAGTACAATCTTCTCTTAGTGAATGTATTTACTGTATCAGAGGGCAACACATTCTGTATCTCTTAATCTGGGCTAACACCCACTGACTGAAAAAAACAGAATTAGGCAAGAGAAAAATCGGCCTGCTTCTGATCCTTTTTGCTTATTGGGAACATCAGCTTGGATCACACACAGGTGATGCATGAATACCACTGGGCTTGGCTGCAGGATAGCGCAGCTGGCATTCCCAAAAGAAGCCTTGCATGTGCCCTCCAGATACATTTGCGTGCCTATGGATAGACTTGACTTCTCTTGCACCTGTGAACGACCCCATCTGTCGCTGTGGGGATATCAAGCGGATAAAACCACCGCAACTCTTTCCTCGAGTTGACCCCGAATGCTCTGCCACGAGGGCTCATAGGAGCTGAATATGGGTCAAGCACAGGCCGCCTGCAAGGAGAGCAGGATGCCCCAGGCTCAGGCTCTGAACCAGCTGGAATTCAGAGGGCTCCCAGAATCGTGCAAACTGGGATCAATGTGGGCGTCACACAAAAAAAAAACACTTCCCAGGGGGAAACCCTAAGTGGTCCAGCTGCCAAACCACCCAGTGGTGAATTTAGTCTTCTACTGAACAGCACCTGGTGTCTCCTATGCTTCTTTTATTCTTCTCATTTATACTTATGCAAGACCAAAATTCAGGCCATTTTCTCCCAAACAATGAAAATTAGCCTGTCGACCCTTTCATCTAAAGAACACATGCAGTGAGAACATTTAGCCACAATGGTAGGAAAATCTCAGTTGTTGCACTGTAATCACTCCTGCCTTGAGGGCTTGTTCCAGGTTTACCTGTAAGCCCTTGTTAGCTTTTTAGTTGTTCCGATCCTAAAGCTACACGTGTTATTTAATTCAGCCAGTAAGGAATCTCGGTGGTGTGCTATCACATAATTCCCATTGTTTCTTGATTAGCTACCATGTCTCAAAAGAAACACAATAGATTTAAACAAACACAGCAGCAATTTATCACACTGGTTTTGTGATTATGCCAGAAATTAACAAAAGAATGACCTTATGTAATCTTTATATCATTCTTCTGTGCATGCATCATGCCTGGAGAGCAACTCTTACATCAAGAGAGCCTTTGTTGAGCACAGAACCACTTAGGAATGAGCGAGTGAGAACTACAGTTGGAGCCAATGATCCCCATAGAAGGTCAAGTATTTAGCATGAGTAAGTGCCTGAAGTTTCTGCCTGCAAGTATTTAGTGGAACCACCCCAAATTCTAGTTTAAAAGTAAAAGGAGAAAGGATTATTATTAATTATTCCTATAGTTTATATGCTGCCTTGGGCACTTCAGGGAGTGGATTTACTGTAGCCATTCCTAGCACAGCACGTGGACCTACTCATGTACTGGTGAAGCATCTTCAGACCTGCAGGCTCCAGTTCTTCCCCCCACACCATGGGAGCTCATATCTCTGCGTGTTACCATTAGCAGGCTGTCACAGATCTCTCCTGAAGAGTTAACCACCTAAGGCTAAACCCATTTAAAGTTTTGAATCACAGGCAATTATCAGACAAGATAATACAATACATCACCTGTACCAACATATGTTGGTGCCTCAAAGCATCCAACTCAGGAGGCCTTTAAAGAAAACTGATCATCAGAGTGAAGTACTTAAGAAAAACAGAACAAGTTTCCATCTTGGAATGATCATTTTTGTGCATCATACTGCTTGTCACAGAGAAAAAATTACACTCATGGGTAAATCTCTCTTCCTCTGAGACCAACCAAAAGACTAACAACAACTCCAAATGGAGCTAACACATCCACTGGGAAGTTCAGCAGAGGAGAATAGCTCTCCAGATGGAAGAGTCTTGAAATGAGAAAGCTCTTGGAACCAGTTTGCCCAATCATCAGAAAAAGTATTTTTGTGTTACCAAGAGAACAAACTGTAGAAATTTGTCTGCCTTCCCTGACCAATTTTTGTGTCAGTCTGTTTACAGAAGAGACCCCAGTGATCTGCACTCAGACCTTGACAGTCCCATTTAAATCAGCTGAACTGTGAACTATTGCAAGCTCCCTTCTGATTTATCGTGTTTTCACCAATACTGCACTCACATATGTGCCTTGCCAAATCTTTGGGGGCACATCTTCTAGTACTGAGGAAATTTTTCTGCTGTAGGACTCTCTTCTAAGGGATTACGGAGTTCATCTGTGCTGAGCACATGGGGGAAGACACTGAATTTAGAAGCAGTCAACGATTAAGCCTGTGTCTTCAAGAAGTGTATGGGGATCAGTCCAAGAGAATGCAGGTCCCACATGTTTGCTTATTGTCTTTTCAGATTTGCACTGAGTTTGGGAAAGAACGTTTTGTATGGACACAGGAAAAACTCTCAGGGGGAGACCTAAATGGGATCTTGCTTCAGTGTGGTATTACCCTCGCTGTTCATAAACCAGCAAGCCGGAGGCATCAGCTTGATTATATATCCTAAAGTGCAGTATTTTTAGAACTCAGTACAGGAATGTTCATTACTTTAGGAGAAGGCTCTAAAAGTATGCCCTGAAGGAATGGTGTGATTAACATAGAAAAGCACTCTAAAATCCGTGCAAGAAATTTTTTGGATTATAATACCCTCTTCATTTCTAGTAGTAACAAAGGATGATTGATGTATATTGCTTTAGCTGATGAAAACGTACAGCGTTATATTTCTTAGCATCCAAGATATTTTAAGACAGTTTAAAACTGCAATTACATTTCAACAGAGCTATACCAACATATGCCAGCTGGGAACCAGCACACGGTATATATCTTTTTAGTAACTGGAAATGGACTGTATTTATTTTTCTTTCTCTTACAAATTTGTATAAACTTAACAGTTATGACATGTGACAAAAATGTCAGCTCTGCAAACTAGCATCCTTTTTTTTTGAATCCAGGTTGGATACAATGCAGCCTCCCCACCTTCTGCTTTACACACCTTAATGCTGGCAGAAGGCAAAACACCCGTGGGGCAGCAAGGTATCCCCTCTCAGCAGTCTGTTTGCCTTCCCAGGTGTTAACAAGAGGACAGGATTTGTGATGTGGATGTGTAACTGCTGGATAACAGAACAAGGTCAGAATTATGCAGTGATCACCTTTAAATGCTTTGATAGTCCTACTTGTTTGACAGCCAGGCTTTAAGACTGAGAGGAAATAACCAGAACTAGTATTATCCCTCAGCAATGAAATGGGAAGGAAAATAATATCACTGGCATAGGTCAGGAAGCAGTGATGAGAAAGCAAAGATGGTCATCAATGCAAATGTTAGTTAGAATGAACAGGTGACCTAAAGGTGAAAGATTTTATATCTCATTACCAATCTGTGAAGTGATTCAGTTTTCTAAGAACCGAATTGAATTGAATTGAATCTGCCATTGTCTGGCTGTGTTTCCTTTGGCAGCTCTGGCACTAACACCAATGTGCATATGCTTGCTTTTGTTGTGTTTTTTGTCAGAAAAGTACAGTACAGTATAGTTTTTCAGGGCCTTTCAGATCTGGAAGAAAAAGAGGATTCCAGAATTAAGGAGTTGCTGTATGTTCAACAGATCAACGATATGTTCAGCTCTATGAAATCACTGTAATAATCTTGCCAGGCATGGGCCAGTCAAAAAATGTTTGGTTTGCAATTTGATTATTTTCCTTGTTTTGTTTTGTTTTTGTTTTTTTTTTTTTCCAAATGGTAATGTTTTCAAACCATCAGAGCAGGAAAAGAAAAAACTGCACCTTCATAAAAGATGAGAAAATTCTGCCTAGTCATTAAAAGGCAGGCATTAAAACAGTTTCATTAACATACCCTTATCTCTTCCCATCAGGATATTTAGCCAGGTCACGACTTTAAATAACAAAGCGGAAAAAAAAAAATCCTAAATTCTATTTTGAGTTGATGTTTCAAAACTCAGCATTCAGGAAACAGGATACTACAGCAACATCAGCATTTCTGCAACCTGAAATTTAGCTAAATGCTTTTTGTTTTGCCCCAGTGTATTTCACAGCAGTGCCATGAGCAGGCCCTGCCTGCCTAATGCCCAACACTCCCAGGTATTTGCTTAGGCTGGTCAGCAGTTCATTAGCACTAATGTATGTGTCGTGCACTCACACCCACTGGAT